TGGGATGGAGGGGTAGGGGGATGGAGGAGGAGGGGGAGCGGAGGAGGGGCCGGGGAACCCCGGCCGGGTGCCGAGGGGAAGGGGGTATGCGCCCGGGATAGTGTTGTCTAATCAGGAGTACGGCAACGATGAAGCGGCAATACACACAGCGGTCATGTAGCTTCTCTTGCCTCTTTAATAAAATTCGACAAAGGTAAACCCCCACGCTCCACTATCACCAAACTCAACACCTGCCCATGAGACATACAGACAGGCATACAGACAGGCATACAGACAGACATACAGACAGACATACAGACAGATATAGACATACATACAGACAGGCAGACCTTGCGTGTGATGACGTCCCATTTCTCCGGTGTGGTGACGATCATTTGCGTTTCCGCGAGCTCCCGTTTCGTGAGCTGCATGTCGCCCGTGAGCTCGCGGACCAGCAGACCTGAGAGGCGGGGTGGGTGGGTGTTGGGAGGCGGGTAAGGAGGGGGGGCAGGAGGAGGAGGAGGGGGGGAAGTATGCTGCGTGTGGTGACGCGAAACTCAAACAAACAATTGCGCCCCCGTCCTATCCACCCAGCGGAGAGGGTTGCGGTGGGAGGGGGAGGTGCGACACAGAAGAGTTTGGGGGGGAGAGGAGAAGACACAGCGCCTCAAATCATTAATAGGCACACACACATACACACATATATATACACATGCATGTACACATACATACATGCGCGGCCATATCGCGGCTCGGATATCAAAACACACACATACATACACGCTTACCTAGAGGCTCCAGTCTCTTGGCGAAGTTGGCTGTTACCTCGGCTGCCAGAGCCTTCATGGGCGCCACGTACACGATCTTGAAGTCCGCCTTCTGGATGACCCCGTGCCGCATGTTGGCGCCGATCTCCCGGAGCACCGCGATCATGGCAATGTTGGTTTTGCCGGCACCTGTGTTACACAAGGCGTGTGTGTGTGTGTGTGTGTTTGTTTGTGCGTTTGCGTGTTTGGGTGTTTGCGTGTTTGGGTGTTTGGGTGTTTGCGTGTTTGTGTGTGTGTGCGTTTGCGTGTTTGTGTGTTTGTGTGTGTGTGTTTGGAGGGGGGAATGCGGGGTGGGGGTGAGGGGGGTTGACGTGCAGAAGCTGTGCTGTTTTAGGGGGGAAGGGGGGAAGGAAGGCGGGGATGTTAGTTGTGATATTTCTCCCCCCACACACACAAAGACACAGACATACGCACACGCATTAAAACACGCACGCGGTCGTCACCACCGACTCCTCCCCTCACACCCCCTCACCCCCCCCCCAAAACACACACGCATCCAGTCCCGTACCGGTCGGGGCGCACACCAGAATATTCTCGTTAGAGTGGTAGGCGGTTCGGAAGATGCGGCTCTGAATGCGGTTGAGTGTCTTGTAGCCGGGAAAGGCGAGCTGAGGAAGGGGGGGAAGAGGAGGGGAAAAAGGGGGGGGGAAAGGGAGGATGATGTGTGTGAGTGCGTGTATGTGTGTTTTAAAGGACTCACGGGGCCAAACACCACCACCACTACCTCCCACGCAAGAAAGTTTACCTCGAGTAACACGAGAGCCACAAACAGATACCCAAGGAAAAAGCCACATACACACAGCATACACCTCTCCCTCCCCCCCCCCGGCGAACCCCAGCCCCGCTCGTCCCTCACCTGCGCCCACTCGTCCAGGTCAGCAATCCGTACAAGCTCCTCCTCCGCGCTGGGAGCGGCCTTGGGAGCGGCGGGAACCAACACCTCCTCATAGCCTTTGTGGGTCCTGGTATGGCGGGGGGGATGAGGGGGGAGGGGGAAAGACGAACCACGAACGAGTGAAGCTGCTGCCAAGGAAAGAGTGCTGCGGCAGATGTACAAAAAGCAGGACTGGCCAGGGAGAGGGGGGAGAGGAAGGGGTTTCAGGCGAGTGTGCGTGGGGGGGGGGGAGAGAGCGGTGTGTATGGACGTCCAGAAATGGAATAGAGTTGTGGGGACGCGCCAGGAATGCGCCAAGAGCTTCGTGTGCAAGCCTCATGCCACATGCGGCCCACTCCCATCACAATGTACGACACGTCAAAACCCTAAAACCCCACTGTTTGGTCCCCTCATACACATACACGCACCTAAACCCCCCACCCCACCCCAAAACCCCGTGAAACCCACTTTCTCACGGTTCCCTTGGGCAGCGCCCCCCGAGCCGCCCCTCCGGCCCGGGGCCCCTCCCCCCCCGTGCCAATCCGGAGCTCGACCCCTCCCGCCAGTGTGATGGTGTTGGTGACGGAGGTGGGGGGGGCCTCCACGTCCATCAGGGCCTGGTAGCCGGCCTGGAGAGACACGTGTGTGGGGGAGGAGGAGCGATGTGCGTGCGGGGGTGGGGGGTTTGGGTGAGGAGAACGGCTAAGGAGGAAGACGGAACGCTGATTTTTAAGTAGCTCTTGCGCTGAGGACAGAAAATGTACAACGCGTGTACGTCGAGGCTCGCTTGGTACACGTCCTTGGGCTGGCTGCTATAGGTCAGTTTCAGTTCAGGTTTAGTGGGAAGGGTAATCAGGGCAACGCGGGAGAGGCCACCCGACTGCGGGTTGCGAGGTGCCTGTAGTGGTGTTGTGGTATATACTGATGTGGTGTTGTTTTGTGGTATCATGGTGTAGTGGTGTAGTGGTGCTGTTGCGTTGTTGTGGTGGTGTGGTGGTGTGGTGGTCGTAGTGGTATTGTGTAGTGGTGTAGTGGTGGTGGCGTGTTGTATTGTAGCAGTGTGGTGTAGTGTTGTGCTGTGGTATTGTGTTGTTGTGGTGGTGAAGGAGACGGAGGAGCTATACTCCTGGACGTGGTCACAGCACAGGACGTGGAGCACGTACGTGCTCATGTCCAAAGCAACACAGACGGCTGTGCTCATTTGCAGATGGTGTGTCGGTTTAGAGTGGTTTGGTCGGCGGGGCAGCGCGGATAAGAGTCATGCGGGACCCATATTCGGGAATAGTTGTAACGTGCGCCTGTATGTATTTCCGTGCCTGTATGTAAACATGTAAGCATCTGGTGTGGGGGTGTTGGGCGGGTTGGTAGGAATACAAACCGCAAATACACACACGCAGACACACACACAACAAAAATGACAGTTGCGTGCTGGAGTCCCAAAATAGCGTACGACAGCAAGTGGGAGAGAAACTGGGGTTTGGGGGGAAAGTATTCAGGCACGGGAAGGGACAGACATACAGATATTCACACAACCATATCCAAACCCGTCCAGACGCCGCCCCCCACCCCCCACCTGCATGAGCCACTCCACCTCCACCTCCGCGTCAGTCTTCCGGGAGCCCTGGATTACGACACAGTACGACACAGCCACAAAGGGAGGTATGGCACGGGAAAAAGCCGGGAGTAGGAGGGGGGGTAAGAAGGGGCAAGGGGGGTTGGGTTGGTGTGGCCCCAAGGTCATGCTCCAAGGTCAATGGGCCCCCCCACCCCACCCGCATTTGCCACCCAAAGCCCCACCTCCCCCGACTCACACGCCCGACGATGTCGTACCTTCTTCGCATCCTTGCGTTGCAGCTTGGCCAGCAGCTTCTGGCTGGTGCTGTTGACAGTGACGCCGGGTCCGTACGACGGCATGGCGGCGCCGGCGGCCGCGGCCCCCAGCGCCGCCGCGGCGGCTCCTCCTTGCACCTCCTTGAACTTGGCGATGGCGGCGCTGAGGGATCGACTGACAGACTTTCTGTTTATTTCGTTGGGGATTTTACCCCCACGGTACGGCACGGTACGGGTAAAGGGTAAAGGTGGAAGAAGTTGTGCAATATTGCAACGAACAATACAGTTTAATTATACATATATTCATCGTGAAGGGTATGCCGTACGACAACAACAACAGCAGATGAAAGGGAACAAATATGAGATTAGAGCAGTACATGCCTGACGATCCGACGATAAGAGATATGCGGCGGAGAAGGGAACCGATGCACGGACGGATGAATGATGTACGGATTGCAGCACAACGTAAGCACAGACCTCCTCCGTCTCCACTCCCTCGCCATCCAACCCACCGATTATCCATCAGTTCGCCAAGACCTTCAAATGCCGTATCCCCCAGCAAGTCGTACAGCTGCGCCGCCATCTCGTCCCCGCTGCCGCCCCCCAGCAGCACCGCTGCCACCGCAGTGGCGGTGGAGGCGACCTCCCCAGGGGCGGAGACGGCCCCCGACCCCGACCCCGACCCCCCCAGCATGCGCTCGCACCAACGGTACAACCACACCACGCCGGCCTGGGCCGCATCCGTACAGCAGAGTATAAAGGGCAGAGGGAAACAAAACATCTCTCACGTATTTTAAGAGCCGAGGCGGTGCAGGCGAATGAGGAGTAGTGGCGCAACATCGTGTGGGAGTGGGGCTCCCGGTGGTGGGTTGTAACGGGCTTCACCCAAGGTCAAAGGCGCAACCCCCTCAAGATGGACATGGCGATGGCGAGATACAGATAATCGAGACGGTACGGCAGGCTGTTGGCTGCCGTACAGTTTGGTGTCTTGGCGTGGGGCGCGCTCGCCGGGTGAACCTCTGCCGTGTGTGTGTATTACCCCCCTCCCCCCCAGGGCACTCTCTCCTAGACAAGCCGCCGGCCCCTACCCGCCGCAGGTAAACAAACTCACATCGCGAAGCTTCTTACGGTCTAGCGTCTCGTCATCATCGTCGTCATCATCGTACATCGTGTACGGCACCGCGTCTCTGTCGCCGCCGGTTGCCGCCGTCGCCGCCATCATCAGCCGCAGCTCCGCCGGCGACGGCTCGCTCGAGTACACGCCGCCACCGTACGACAACCCAATCCCTCCCCTTCCTCCTCCCCCTCCGGCGGCGGCGATGCCGTCACAGATCAGATTCAACGCCTGGTCCGCCGGTAACGCCACGTCATCTGCAAAATGGAAATCCAAATCGGCCCCGAACTCTTGCCGCTGAAGGCTTGATTCCACCACCGCCGCCACCGCCTTGCCCTGCGGCTGCTGCTGCTGCTGTCCGGAAGCCGCTGCTCCCGGGCCCTGCGTCGGCAGCGGCGCCCCCGACGGTGCCAGCTTGGCCCTCCAGTTCCGCAGCCCGGCGACACAGTCCCACAAGGGCGGTAGTGCCACGTCGCGCAGTACCGGACCAAGCACTGCCACCAGCGCCTCCCTGAGGGGGGAAGGGGGTGCAGGAAAGATCGTGTACGTGTGTTTGTATGTATGTGTGTTGTTTTCGTGCAAGATTGCCAACAGAGGTTCTTGAGATGTCTGTCTGTCTGTCTGTCTGTACGCGTTTGATGTATGCGGATACATTAACACCGAGAAAAAAGCTCTGAACAGCACAGGGGCCAAAGTAAGTGTGTCCAGGATGTCAAAAGGAAGATACCTGACTTCCCTCCCCAAAGTTGCAACGACGACGACGACGACGACGATGATGATGATGATGATGGTGGTGGTGGTGGTGATGAAGGTGTGGGGGTCACGACTACGAGCATAAAGCGCAGGGCGGGTGCTGCGGCCCGTGATGGATCCGACCTGCCCGGGGTCTTCCAGTCCTGCCGCGGCCCAACACGGACCAACCAGCTCCACACACCCTGCCAAGACTAGGCAGGGAGATAGGTACCTGGCCCAACCCCTCACCCCCCACCCCCCACCCCTCACCTGTGGGGTTTAAGCGCCTGCTGTATGCCCCGCCCCCGGGAGGTGTCCGGCGGCTCTCTGAGGCCCCAGGTCCGCCACACAGCCCCCGCCAGCTCGCGCAGGTCGGCGCTGCTGTGCTCCCCCTCAACGGCGGAGGACACGGCCTGCGCGGACGGGGGGGGAGGGAGGCTGAGACAGCAGGATAGGGACAGCAACGTACAGCCAAGAAACCACTGCCGTCGTCCAAAGCTGGCGGGGTTTGCTGGAGGCACGTTTAAGCCCGGGGAGGGTGGAAGAGGGGAGAAGGAAGGCGGGAGAGCGGGTGGGGGGAAAGACGAACCACGAACGAGTGAAACTGAGAGGCAAAGCTGGGGGGAAGTCTCAAAGGTCAAAGACAAAGCTGTTGACATCATAATCCGTACATATGTATGTATGTATATATGTACATACATACACATACACATACACATACACATTCGCGACCGGCTACCTCATTGGCACCGAGCCACCCTCCCCGACAGGTAGGTGTGGGTCGTCAGCACCTTTTCGAGCCACCCTAGCCGACCAGCCCGTTCACGTGACGTCTTTACTGACACATTTCTGATTGCATGTCGTACCTTTAAAAATTTGTCGTACTCATCACGAGCTCCCCGCGGGACTGCACGAGGGTGTTGAAACCAGGGTTTGTGTGTGTGTGTGTGTGTGTGTGTGTTGGCTGGGGCCTGAAGAACCCAAGACGTCTCGTGTAGCCATGGCCCCCCGCCACCGCCACCACCGCCACCACTATTACCCGCCTACCAGTCGGTGCCTTGGCACTTGTGCGCCAACACGGCGGCCCGCTGGCTTCCCCCAGCAGGTGCCAGGAAACAGGAACAACAGCCTCCTATCCCCCTTACCCCTACTACCACCTCCACCCGTTGGGAAGGCAACTCCCCCCCACCCTCACCCTCAAACCCCCTTCACCCTCACCCTTGTCCCAGCTGCCGAAAATTTCCAACATGAGGGCACCCTCAGCAGTAGCAGCAGAAGTAGCAGCAGCGCCGGCGGAGGCCTTGGTTCCGGGTGCTGTTGCTGCTGCTGCTTTAGGGCCGCCGGCTGCGGCGCCGGCTGCGGCTGCGGCGGCTCCGAAGCCCAGAGGCCCCCCACCTCCAGCTGCGGCATGCCGGCGCTTCTCCTCCAGTACGGCGTCCCGTGCCACCGTCAGTACGTCAACATCCATGCGGTGGTACGGCGCCGCGGAGGGCCCGGCCTGGTCCGCCACTAGCGCTCGGAGGAGTGTGGTGAGGCGGGGAACCTGAAGACGGCGGTGTTTGGTGTGTTTCCACGACAAACAGGTTGTAATCGCTCAAAAACATACCCAGGAAGTCAATCAAACAAGATCCAAACAAAGTTGGAAGAGGACGGAAGTAAGAAGTAAAGGAATAATAGGCGGGAAGGATTGCGCAAGATGACCCAGATGGGCAACCATGCAGCGCAGTTAAAGGGGCTTGGTGGGGGATGTAGGGGGGGAAGGCAGGGGTGAGAAGCAGTTTTCGGGGTATGTAGTGAGCGGCAAGGGAAGGATCCCGGAGTTGAAAAGGTAGCCATGTAAAAGGTGTGATGGTCATGTGAGAGGATGGAACGGCCGCGGCGAGCAAGGATGGACAACACATAGGCCCGTGGGGCATGGTTGGTACGGGAGGGGGGAGACAGGGTAGGGTCGCTGGGGGAACAAAGGGATGGGGGAGAGAACAAGGGAAGAAGCCTCGGGGGCCGAGTGGTTTGAAAGGGACAGCTCCGGCACCGCCAAAGAGGCTCCAGGTTGACACACCTGGGCATCATCTGTGACCGTCAGGGCACGGCCCTTGCCCATTTTGGGCGTGCGGAGCGCTGCGCACCCTTTCCGTTGGGCCTCCGGACAGATGGGGTGCAGCTGCCGTTTAGCTGCACCCTAGTGGCAACTTTAAGAAATTCAAGGCAGATTCTGGTTACAAAGATTTATTTTTGTAAAGTAAGGGTAATAAATCAGGAGGAGCGCAGGTCCAAGCAAACCCGATCGTCAGCCGACTGTCAGAAACAAGCTTCTGAGGCTAGCAAGAGTAATTTTTAAGCTGTGAAGCTGTGAAAACATGCGCGTAGAGACGTGCTTAATAAGGCTGTGAGGTATGGCAACTGTGCCGGAAAAGTTGGTTACGATGAATTTCGTACGGCAAACACTGGCCCAGCGCGAGAGCGGACTTGGATTAACTGTTTCAGATTAAAACGGTTCATGTCGCTACAAGTCTCATAGCTTATGCAGTCTACAACTAAAAGAACAGTATGACGGAGCACTACCTTCCGATGTTCATCAACCGTTCTCGCCGTATGTAAGCACGGGACAATAGTACACCGCAGCAAGCAATTTACTAGGAGATGATGCTTTATGGCCAGAAGGCTTTCTTGGGTCCACGACGCCGAACGCACCTAACATCCAGCGTCAGTCGTCATTCCCCAGCCGCTCACATCATAGCATCGCACCGGTCGCAATCTAAAGGGGCCACACCTCAAAATTTCTCCTTAAACAGCGCGCCGGCTAGGCACCTGTCCATGGCGAGTCCATCTGATTCGGTTGTGGATAGCGACGAGGACGAGGAGGCCGGTGAGGCCAGGGAGCTGTCGAATCTCTAAACTTATTGCCTGTACCTATCATTTGGGAGGATCTTGCTGCGTCGTGGCATCTTTGGGCTCAGATTCTCCAAACTACTGGGGTTTGGGCAGTTGCACCTCCGCTGACTGCCATCAACGCCACTGATTTATTATTATCCTCCTTTGTGCTTAAACACCTATATTCCTTTCAAAAGCATGCGTGCTAGCTGGCCGATTTTTCAGTCCTGTCTAAGCTGCCAGCCTCCTGGATAGGGCGGGGTCCAGGGGAAATATTTGGGTCAACACGGGCAGCGTCAATAGCAATTTGGGTCAGTACAAAACACACCTTCAGTATCAATCAATCACCCATTTTTCTCGGTTCCCTTCCAGCGTCAACAACGCTGCGGCACCGAGGACCTCATTCCCCACCCATCCCCCCTTCTCCCCTCCTGGCCGCTGCGCATGCGTGTGCACATTTGCGTGCCTGTGTTTTTCCCTCCCCCAAACACACAGCAGTCTACTACGCGACTTCCGTCCCCGGCCCCGCCCCAGCGCCCCTGAGCCTGCCCCCGCCGGGGCCGTACTTCACTCCGGTCAGCAGCGCAGGGGGGGCCCCCCCAGGCTCCAGCATCGCCCCCACCTCCCCAAAACCCTGGTCCCCGGCACTCGTGGTGTTCAGCGGGGGTACGGCATTCAACAGCGTGGCAGGTGGGTGGGTGGGTGGGGTGGGGGGTGGGGGTGGGCGGTGTGTCCAGAGGCTGTGGATGGTGCTGGAGGGCCGGGTGAGGTCGGGTCGGGTTTCCATCTCGGCCGCCTCTGTCCAGGTTCGCTCCCAAGTCATTGGAACAGGCGCCGGCCAGGTGAGGGGGTGGGTGGGTGGGTGGATGGGGATTGAGCGAGGTGTGTGTAGTGGTGGTGGTGGTTGTGAGCGGTTCCTCTCCGGGCCCCTCTTTCCTTCCTGGGACCCAACTGCCCTTCCCGGCTCCCAGTGACGGCTCTGGCGTTACAGCTCTGGCGTTACAGCTCTGGCGTTACAGCTTTGGCGTTACAGCATTGCGTTTCTACCCATTATCCTTCCCGTCAATTATCCGTCTTTCCCTCCTGTACCCCCCAAACCCACTTACACCCCTTACACCCTCCACCCACCCA